GACGGACATAGACTTCAGATTGTTCCTTTCAACAGTTCTCACGAAAGAAAGTGTAATATGAATCTTAAATGGATGTTTTATGCGAGGGAATTGAGGAGGAAACCTGCTCAAATGACAGGGCGATGTAGATGTTGTTTTAAGTTGGTTCTGGACAGTAACGGTACCTAGGTCGTTTTACGGCTCAGAATACAAAACTTCTGAGAAGAAGACACTTGCTTAGGAAACGTTGAAAGTCTGTGCTTAACAATCTCACATATAATTCTTGTGGTCATTTTTCTACTGACCATTTCACTAACGGTCCGTTGACAGCTTGATGTAACGGAACCTAGCCACTACCATTACTCCTACTGAAGTAACATTGCCTTTATGCATGTGTTGCTGGTCAGCCAAAAACGTAGTACGATCACTTAGATACCTTATCGCTATACCGGACCGAATTAGAGCCTACACATTTTCGCGGTCGATTACTCATCGGGTAGTAAAACATCGTCGATATGACGAAGCTACGTAACCTCATTGAGATCCATTTTTTTCTAAGCCCCATCCTGAGCCCAGCATAGTTTTACAGGACTGTGTCAATCAGCAACTGACTCTTCTGGTCTCTAGTACCTTTTATTCTGAGAGTTCGAGTGTTGGTCAGGTTACGGCGCCAGCAGATCTTTCCTTTTTAACTATGCGCTTTCTTGGAAATTCATAAGAGAATCAAAATACTTTGAGACCAGTCTTTTCTGTAGTTTATTTCATTTGTAAGCACCCAATTTAGAAAAGCCGAGACCTATATTTTGTCCTTTAAAAATGGTTGAAGCCCCTAAACTAACTGTTTCGAGGTCATTAAAATGTTTAGGACTAAGATGAATGTGCAGGAGTGGTAAAACAAGGAGGAAGAGGAGGAGGAGGAGGATAATTCGGTCATGCATTGGTAGCAAAACTGCAGAAAAATAAAGAGATTGATACACAATCAAGGATATGAAAATATGCCATTTTCGTTCATCTGATGATAGTATTGACTGTTGTGTTGGTTGAGGAGATGATGACGAAGGAGCGATAACCGATTTTGCCTGTTATTCTTGCATCCCATTACACACTTCAGTATTTTAATAAAAGTAGCTTACCGCCGACGCCTGGACTCTCTTTTCTTATCCTTCTTTGCCGTCGAGTGGGAAGATGGGGATTTGCTCCGCCTGTTGGAGCCTGACCGGTACCCCGGTGTTCGACTTCTACCTCTACTCTTTGACGGAACTCTTGGAGGTTCTCGGCTTTCGAACCGCAACTGGGGGCTCGACTTGACATCATCAGCGTGCCCGCCCGGCTTGCGTCGCGCTCTCACTTTCATGACGAGTCAGTCGGCCATGACAAAAGATGTTGGCGTGGGCAAAATCACAAACAAGATCTTCCTAGTCGGTGCGTGCATGCTGGTTGCCATGGTCACATGCGTACAACGATGTGCTAGCTAGGCCATCGTCACGTGGTTGGTCGGCCCAGCTGGCACACTTGCACTTGTGACCGTGGGAGGTTTACTAATGAGCATACCCACCACCTGATTGGTCACAGAATGCAAGCACTGATTGGCCTGCTTCGGATATACGATTGCTGATCTAATCGGCCAATTGGGGAGGTCGATAATTGGTGAACACTAATTGGATGCGATTAGCCACTTTAGCCGAATTGTGCGCCTTTTGTCCGTCTAAGTCTTTTCCTAGCACAATTGTCCATGCAATGCAGAAAGTCAGTGTAACCTAATGGAGCGACTTTGAAAGATTAGTCATGACACGATGCAGTGTAGGCAGGAAATGTATATAATTTGAAAGTATAAAATGCAACAAGGAGGAAAGAAACTGAAAAACGGTCGTTATAACTAAATTCTGATTAATGCAGAGTAGGTTTACTGATAAAATCCGTATAAATTGGAAACTGGTTATGAATTGGACAGCACTCAAAGGACACTGATTTGATAATTTACCAGAGCATGTTATTTATTCCTGAAATAGTCAAACGAAGTGTACAAGTATAATTAGACGTGTAGAGATTTCTCGTAAAGCATAGTAAGCGAAACTACAACCCTACATTGCACGCCTCATGGAACAGTCAGTTAGAAAAATTGTAAAAAAAACAGTTTATGCATGTATAGTAATGCCGTCAGCAAAAATATGAATAAACAATTCAGTTAACCCAATGGTGAGAAACTGGACGGCCTCTGTAGGATCCAAATCCACGATAACAGTGATGAGCTGAGCCCAGATGCAAATTTTCAAACAGATTTCCGGGGATGCTTATTTTTTAAGGTGTACGCACATATCACTGACGACGGCTAACAATTAGAAGTGATCATCCCGGGCTGGTTTACTGCGTGGGCACCCCTTCCAGTACATACATATACATCTAGGGAGAATGACCTTCCCGAAAAAGAAAAAAGGGACTGGAATGGCCATTTCTGGTTTATTAGCCGTCATCAGCCAGCCAGACCCAACCCCAATTGATGCCCCACCCGAGGGTCGAACCGGTGACCTTGTTAGTTAGAAGTTCAACGCTTCAGCCACTGCGCCACGGACTTGTTGCCTTGCCGGTTCCAATCAGGAGTACAGTAGTCGCCAAAGAACATGCAACTTTCATGATAAAATTTGACTTGGCACTTTAGCGTGTATTTATTAACACTATTTTGATTCATTCAGTTTATTGAATCCTGCGAAAGCCTTTTACTTAGTTAAATCGTCATTTTAGTTGGATTTAGTAAGAGAAATGGCCATTAATTTTGGGTAAATTGGGAGTAGTCTCATACGGAAGAAATTTCCTACGCTATTACGAAAGAGAGAACCAAACTGCACGTTAATGTTGATTATAC